ATATAGAGAGAGAGAGAGAGAGAGAGAGAGAGAGAGAGAGAGAGAGAATTCTGATTTGAACTGAAAGAGTCAACTTGACTTCTCCCAGTCGGCCAGTAAGTATTTATATTATTATTAAAACATGACTGAAAAGACCTATGTTCCCTTACTTAAGTTAAGAGCACATGTTCCAACACAACATTACAGATTAGCAACATTAATCAAGGTATAAAGACAAAAATACCCCTATGCTAACAAATCTAAATAAGTTTATAGAAATATATTAAATTGAATTTATCAAATATACTAATCTACATTAATATTAAAAAAGATTTTTAATTTTACAAGAAGTATAGAAACAAAAGTGTTAATAATGGAATAATAATTTCAGTAATTAAAAATTATGAACTTTGTTATGATGTGTATTTGAAATTTTAATAGATTTGATATAAATAATATTCAAAAGTAGTATTTTATAAAATAATAGAATTAAACAATATATCAAATCCACATTTATATCAAAAGATTATTTGAATCTCAAGAAATTTATACAAGTATTATAGAATAATTATTATTGTATTTGAAATTTAGTAACTTGCACCTGATATGTATTTTAAAATTTATATATATTACATTTATTGATTAATGTTTTAATTTATATTAAATAACACCATATTTATGAGTTACGAAAATAAAAAAATTGTTTACAAATTAAGAATATAATATTAAATTGAACCTATCAAATCTAATAATCTACATTCAAATAAAAAGGATATTTAATTTTAGAAAAAATATAGAAATAAAAGTATTAATAATGGAATAATCATTTTAGTAGTTAGAAAACATGACCTTGGATTGATATGTATCTTAGAAATTTTAATAGATTTGATATTTTTTAAGTTAGTTGAATTCTTTGTTAATTTTAAAAAGTAAAAGTTGTAAAATGGAAAATAATTGATATAATAATAATACATAATAGGAGCATATTTTTGCATCTTGGACTCTTGGTTGATACATTATCAATAAAATTATATGGTATCCATGCATCCTATTATATTAATTGTAATATATTTTTCATATACACTATTAAAATACACATTTTCTATGTATTTATACATTATTTGTGGTTATTTGATCTTAAATATAATATTGTTAACATATTTATGGAATTTGTATGTGTTTCCCTAGCATATCCAAGTGTTTCCATATTTTTCATCTGTATCCATGTGTTTCCAATGTGTATCCGTATCCAAGTTGTCCAATATGATACCTGATACTGATACTTTAATCTTGGTCGTAGATTAGTGTCCCTTGTGTTTTTAACTTCTTCTATAATCACATGGTCGGTTAACATAACATGTGATTTCTCGTCTATAGCCAGCCCACTGAAATAAGTAAAAGCTTTTCTGAAATAGTGAATCTAATAATACACCTTGGTTCGCATGGCCACTTATTGGATATAGGCCCCATTAGAAGTCTAATAACACACCTTCAAGTCTAATAATGCACCTTCAAGTCTTGATCTCTGGTGGTAAGATCTCTTTGTGCAGTAGTTTTTTATTTGATCTCATGGCCACTGATCTGAGATCTAATAACACACCTTCAAGTCTTGATCCCTGGTGGTACGAGTTCTTTCTGATGTAGTTTTTTCTTTGATCTCATGGCCACTAATTAGAGATCTTAATAAACACACCTTCAAGTCTTGTCTTGCATAAGGAGGCAATCGATTGAAAGACCTCCAACTTCCACAAATGGAAAGGTAGCCCAGCAATCCGAATGGTTGTACCAGTCTCCACCGAAAAATCTTTTGGTTTTGTGCTAGGGGACCATCTCATCACCGTACTCCAGTCTTCAACTGAAAGTTTAGTGCACTAACATCTAACTCATCTTCCATCAAGTCTAACACTGCTTTATAGTCTTCAAAAGGGGTGAATGCTGAACAGTACTTGACCCTTTATCCTCAGATTTTTAATTAAATCAGATGCTAGTAACCTCCAATTTTCTTGTTTCTTTTCTACTTCAACCATCAATTTCTTTTCCCACACTTCCTTCTTAGGACAGAGTTTTCCTGTTTCTCCCATCAATACCCCGTTTTATATCATTCCTTTCCTTTATCACTTTCAAGAAGTCCTGTAACACATTTTGCTCTCCCTCGAACGCGAGCTATATCTTTCTTTGGGAATGCAGATCGGCTGCTTCTTCCCTTCCCCAGAATAGTCAAACAGAGCCAATAATCTACCTTTTTTGTTCCATCTTCTTTCAACAGGGTACCTTCATTCTTTTTCTTCTTTAGATCTCTTCCACTCTGTTTCTTTACCTGATTGAAGTACACCCTCTGCAAACACTTAGAGCCACTCGATCACATCAAGCCCTACTAGCATTACCATGGATTTTCTCATTTCCCTGATTTTCAACATGATTTTCCCCTATGTGCCTCTTGAAAGAGTACTTCTTTTGCCTCAGCCCTAAGAAATCATCTCCAGGTTGTTGTCTGCATGAACTCCATTTCTTCCATTGCCTTCTCTTCCTGTCTGAAAGCCATCAAGGTGGGTTGTTCGTAGTTCAACCATCCAGGTCAAATCAGTCAACCCTAATTAACATAAATTATTAAAGTATAAAATATAGACAAAATATAAAACCATAGAAAAAATTGGGTATATCTCTAATATTCATCATATTAATTAAACAAAAATAAGAGAATTAATATGTAACTCGTGACCCTCTGATAACATCAAATGGTTTAATGGTTCAACTGGGCGGGTCACCAGGTTGTAGGCCAAGTCAACAGTTTTTTTTTTTTTTTGCAGGCAAGTGGTTCAGTGGTGAAATGGACCTGTAATTCTGGCTGGTCTGACTGTAGGTTGGAAACATACAGCCATTCAGTGGCTGCTATGTTGCACATTCATATGGATTGATGGGAAGATCTTGGTGTTATGCAGCTGAGCCACAAGAGATCTTCTCAAGGTGGTCTTTCTGTTAAAGTGATAATAGTAAGAAGAGAAAATTTTTCTGGAATATGGAGTTCAATTTCTTCTACAATCTGCTGGGGCATTTGGAGAGAAATAGAGTTATTTGAAGATAAAAGCAGAAACTAGAAATTGGTGGAAATATCCTCATCCACCAAGAGTGGAGGCTTTTACTTTGCTAGTGGCTCTGACTTGCATTCTTACGCAGGATCATATCAAAAGTAGGGGAATAAATATGGAGGAAGGTATTACCTGTTTTTAGCTAAGGAGAAGAATGTGATGCACCTGTTCTATGGTTTGCTTCTCAAAGTATTAGTTGGGTTGCTATCTGTTGGCTAATTTGGAAGGAAAGAAACAGAAGTATCTTTGAAGATAAATCAAATTGCAGGGAGCAAATCGTTTTCCCGGTTGGAAATAGATTCATGGAGTGCGTTTTGGTTCTTCCAGAATTTGAAGGAATTTCAAAAGAAGACTTAGAGAGTGAATTTTGGTTATTTCTAGAATTGGCTATGTGAGATGAATTTGTCATATCTTTTGGGTTTTATCTTTTCTGTTGTCTGGTGATTTTTTATCACATCTTGGTTGTACCCTTTTATAACTATTAGTAAAATTTTCTTTGGGGGGGGGTCTATTGTCACCTCTGGAATTTAACGAAATGAGTATGGATTCTTTTGGGTCAGGTTTATTGTCATCCCTTGAAGTGGGTGCTATATAATTCCCTTGGTGACATTGTAAAAGGGATGTATTTTGTCATGTTCTGTAATGCTTCTGAAGTTATTTCCTATTGGTTGAGTTAGGTGTCAGTTAAAACTAGTTGTAATTATTGTTTGTTTAATAAGATTTCTTTTTCCTTGCTGTCAAAAAAGGTTGGTTATTTACATTATCAGTGGGAGAACTTCTGGGTAGTTTGCTCTTGGCTATATTACTGTTTGGATGGGCAGCCAGGTAATTGCTGGGGTATTGGGGCATTTTTTAGAATGTGCATCCTGTTAAAAAGCTATAGAGGTTTCTGCAACACTTAGTTACACAGTTTGGTGTACCTTTCCAATGGAGTTAATGCCTGCCAGATTTATGAGCAGGTCTGATTTATTCGAGAGTTTTTGATTGCTGATGCTCTTGACTTGGAGTGAGGGCCACTTGGTTTTGTTAATTCTTTTAAGGGAAAATTACTGTAACCTCACTGTACTTTTTATTTTCTTTTAAATTGGATAAACTTTTTCTTATCAAAAATAGGCTTGAACATCGACTCTTGTAGAATCTGTAATACAAACAGAAATTTTAATGACAAAAAAAAAACCCTTTCTGTTAAAAGAGAAAAAAAGAAAAAGTTCTAGGTGAATTTCATCATCATCGTTACTGATAAAAAAAATCATCATCATCGTTGTAGTAGTCATCACGTAAGCCATGTCCAACTACATATGGGGTTAGCTACACAAATCCTGTTTTTCCATTCCATTCTATTCAGCGACATATCTATCATCAAATTATTGGCACTTAAAATTATTTCTTACTGCTTCCGCTGAAGTCCTTTTTGGTCTGCCCCTTGCTTTTATAGCCCATTCAACTTGTAACAGATTATTTTTGATGGGTGCTGGTCTTCTATGCATGTGACCAAACCACCTCAGTCCACTTTCTCTCATATATTGAGGCTATGAGAAGTCATATTAGTCGATGGATATATTTTCATTTTCTGGAGTAATTTCATTGGAAGTTCATATTGGTCAATTGCAATAATAATTGCTAAAAGTTAACCATCATTTGTTGTTTTACCATATTTATTATAAAGTTTTTTTTTTTTTTGTATTTCCAGGTTCATCAGCTACAGACTGGGCACAAGATTCTGATTTTCCTAACTGGTTAGATACGCATATTTTTGAAACAGAAAATGTTCAGGAAGGTAAAAGATGGTCATCACAGCCACATTCTTCTTCTGCTCATCTTGGAGACTCAAAACCATTGTACAGAACATCTTCATATCCTCAGCAGCCACAACAGCAGCAACACTTTAGTGAACCTGTTTTAATACCGAAGTCATCTTTTACTTCTTACCCTCCTCCTGGTGGTCGATCTCAGGCATCACCAAATCAGCATTCTCACCACCCCAACATGCCATCTCTTGGTGGACCTCAGTTACCCTTCTCTTCACCAAACATGCCTCCGTTCTCTAATTCTCAGCTTCATTTGCAGAGCCTACCTCATGGGTTACATTATGGTGGAAACCTACCACAATTTGCCTCCCAAAGCCTCTCCATGAATAATAGGCCACAGGGCCACTGGGGGAACCAGGCCAACCTATTTCCTGGAGATCATTCCAATCTTTTGAACAACTTGTTACAACAGCAATTGCCTCATTCAAGTGGGTTAGTCCCCCAGCAGTTGATGTCTCAGCAGAAGCAGCAACAACAGAGACTGCATCATCCAGTTCAACCATCTCTTGCCCATTTTTCATCTCTCCAGTCCCAATTATTTGGTAGCCATTCTTCTCCACCACCACATGTAATAAGTAAGTATGAATCAATGCTGGGGATGGCTGAATTAAGAGACCAGAGGACAAAATCAACACAAAGGGGTAGACATAACCTGCGTTTTTCTCAACAAGGTTCTGATACAAGTAGCCAAAAGAGCGAAAATGGGTGGCTGCAGATCAGATCCAAGTACATGACTGCTGAAGAGATAGAAACTATTCTTAGAATGCAGCATGCTGCAACACACAGTAGTGATCCTTATATAGATGATTATTACCATCAGGCTTGTCTTGCAAAGAAGTCTGCAGGGTCAAGGTTGAAACACCATTTCTGCCCGACTCACCTGAGGGACCTGTCTTCCCGAGCACGTGCTAACACTGAGCCTCATGCCTATCTCCAGGTTGATGCTTTGGGAAGACTACCTTTTTCTTCTATACGCCGGCCTCGTCCTCTCCTTGAAGTTGAACCTCCATCTGCTTCTGCTGATGGTAGCATTGAGCAAAATGTTTCTGAGAAGCCTCTTGAACAAGAGCCAATGCTTGCAGCACGGATTACTATAGAAGATGGCCTCTGTCTTCTTCTTGATGTGGATGACATTGACAGGCTCTTACAATTTAGTCAGTCCCAAGATGGTGGGATGCAGCTGAGACGTCGTCGTCAAGTCCTATTAGAGGGACTTGCAGCATCACTTCAGCTAGTTGATCCACTTGGAAAAGGTGGGCGCACAGTAGGACTGGCCCCCAAGGATGACCTGGTGTTCCTACGGCTGGTCTCTCTTCCCAAGGGTCGGAAGCTCCTCTCAAGGTACTTACAGCTCCTCTATCCTGGTGGCGAACTTACACGTATTGTCTGCATGGCAATTTTTCGTCACCTGAGGTTTTTGTTTGGTGGCCTTCCCTCTGACACTAGTGCTGCTGAGACAACAATAAATCTTGCCAACACTGTTTCTGCATGTTTGTGTGATATGGATCTCAGTGCACTTAGTGCTTGTCTTGCTGCCGTGGTTTGCTCCTCAGAGCAGCCTCCACTGCGGCCACTTGGAAGCTCTGCTGGAGATGGCGCATCTGTCCTCTTAAAATCTGTCCTTGACAGGGCAACTGAACTATTGACAAATCCTCAGGCTGCCAGCAACTACAACATGCAGAACCGGGCCCTTTGGCAGGCATCTTTTGATGCTTTCTTTACCCTACTCACAAAGTATTGTGTAAGCAAGTATGACAGTATTGTGCAATCATTGCTCATGCAAGCCCCGCCAAATACAGCATCTATTGGGTCAGAGGCAGCAAGAGCTATAAGCAGAGAGATGCCAATTGAGCTGCTACGTGCAAGTATTCCACACACCAATGAGCATCAGCGGAAGATATTGCTGGACTTTGCACAGCGCTCCATGCCTGTTACTGGATTTAATACCCATGGCAATGGCAGTGGAGGTCAAATGAATTCTGAATCAGTTCCTGGTTAGTAAATAAGTAGTCCTGGGAACAATGTTGTAGTTGGGTTATTGGATTCTCTGTTTGTCGATCCTTGAATGCTTGTTGTGGGTCTGCCTGAAAAATGGAATGTGACAGCATCAAGGGTTGAGCACATGGCGTAGGATCAAGTTTCTTCAGCTTCTCTTTCCCCCATTTGTGTTTTTTTTCCTGAACTTCCCTTTCTCTTACCATTTTTAGTGTCCCTTTCCCACCTGTTTTCATTTGGTGAACTGTAGGCCTTTGTGTATTATGTTGAAAACTCTTTCGGGGAGTCTGTGACTAGAAGTTTTCTTCTGGGGAGCTTAATTTTGGTGCTCTTTGTTGGTACTCCAAACAGAAGTGGGTGTGGAGTAAGGGAAAATGTACAGGGTTCATAACAGAAGGCCTTCCATTTTCCTTTCATGTCATGCACTCTTTTGTGCTTTGATTTTCCCTTTCCTTTTTTCAAAGAGGGGGAGGATCCCGATCTTCAATTACTGGTTTTTCTTTTGTTTTTTTGTTTTTTTTCTTTTTTTTGTTAAAATGTGGGAATTTGTCCACTCTTTACTGACAGTGAAATTGGGGACCTTTGGTCATGTCATATACTTGGTATAAACAGGTTGATTAGGGAGATGCTCCCTGAACATTTGACTAAGAGCCTGTAAAACCATGATAAAGCTTTGGTAATTATCTACCTTAAATGTTGTACCAAGTTTCAGGATTGCATACAGATGTAGATATTTTTGAACATAATAGTAGTTTTCTCTTCATTAGGCACGCATTTGATTGCCTATTGCTGACAATAGAGATGCATCCTAGCATCAAACTCACTTGGTTGTGTTCTGTTGACCATGCGACTGTCCACTAGCAGACTTGGGTTTAAACTTGGTATAAAAAAAATCTGTCGAGAAGTCTCCATCTTCCATGACCAGAAGTACCATAACAAGCCGTCACTTTCGCCATAACAGAATCAAGTATCGGGAGATTATTATGGTTACTCTGGGAGTGACTGCTGTCACCGAAGTCTCGTGAATGTTTTCTTCTCGTGCAACGGAAATATAGAAAAGTAGAGACGAGTGAGGATTGGGAATAAATGGAGAACTGGTGGAGGGGGCCCTGCTTCCTAGGAGCTCACCTGGTTGAGACTTGAGATCACATTGGTCCCCTACACAACGCGCCCAACGGGTGCCCCAAACACATCCAAACTGTGTATTAGGGCTGTTCATAACAAGACCCAAACCGACCAACTCGGTTCGATCCAACCCGAGTTGGCCGGTTTTTCTTCAGCATCGGTTGGTTTCGGGTTACAAAAAATATAAACCGATGGTTTGGTTTCGGTTTTCATGTGTGAAAATCGAACCCGAACCGACCCGAACCAACTTAGATATATATATATATATATATATAATATCAGTTTTAATCCATCAAATCATTTTTAATTTTCAGGCATCCAGCCTTTGCTTTCTTAGACTTGAATCCTTTACTGTTCACACCGAGAGAATCATTCACCAAACCGATCCAAACCAATTCAAACCGACCAGGTCGGTTTTACTTAGTACTGTGTTGGTTTCAGTTTCATTTCTAGGTAAACCGACCAGGTCGGGTCGGTTGGAAGAACGCTAGTAAACCGACCCAACCCAACCCGTGAACAACCCTACTGTGTATTGGAAGCATCTCCTAATAACAAGTACGGGAGATGTTCCCAATGCATGCAACATGTGCACATGCGTAGTGTGGGGTGCCAACCGCTTAGTGTGTAAACATTACTATATTGAAAAATTGATTTTTCAAGTCAATATATAATTTTTTGTTCAATATACGTATCGGCCGATACGTATCATTCTGGGACCCCACCGATATGCCCCTATAGTTGGTGTATCGGGGGTTTGACCGGTTTAGGGGGCAGAGGAGCACTTAACTAGCTCTCCTGAACCGGTTTCAAAAAAAAATAAAAAGAAAGTAAAAAAAAATAGTATCGATTTGCCCAATACGCCCATAGGCATATCGGGTGTTTCGATATTTTGAACCTTGCTGTAAACAACTACAAAGATTCCATTTAATGTAAGTTGCAAGTAAAAAGAGTAGTATTTAATCGAAGATTCTCATCTGGTTGTTCAATGTTGCGAGGGTCATCTTTGAATTTGCTCAAATGTTCTTGTAGACTCCCCTTCTATCCGTCATACAACGACCAATGTTGCAAGGGTGCATATCCGATGGGGTAAGGCTTGTGTAGGATTTGGTTCGAGTAAAGTTTTTGGAGAATACATGGGGGTTGAGTTTTGTTTTGGCTGATAGGTCTCTCAACGAAGCCGACACTCTGCTCCCTGGCCATAGTTTCTAGTGTAGGTACATGATGGTCACTCAGACCATCAGAACATAGGTGTCAAACCGATACTACATGAACGCCTGCGATAAGTTCATAACTCATTGCACACCTACGATGAACTCTCGATCCGGTACATGTTACGATGAACTTAAGACCTGCATAGACTTACTATGAGCTTAAAGCCATCACACAATCGCGATGAGATAGAAAAAGAAGCACGCACGTGACAGGATGCTTCGTAGGCTCAAAAAGGACATGCGAGATAAGCAGTGGCGTTGTCTATACCACATTGGTTTAAGAGGGTCATGAAAGGAAGTAGCACACGTGTACTATGAGAATCCTCAGACGAAAGGAAAGCTCATCCTTGAGATATCTCATAAGACACATGGCGAAACCCTAGTAGTGTTCCCTAACAACCGACACCAAATACGAGATTCACTTTCCTAATGGGAATCGAATGCTTTTCGCTCATTCCTTTCAAGACCTTGGGATCTATCCCTACAAATAGGGGTCCAACTCATAATGAAACAGTCATTCTATCATTCCATTCGCCCTAGCCTTTAGCCAATCTTATGCTCTTGGCTTTCCTTTGTCTTTCAATGAGACCCTTGTACGTAACCTCACCACCTCACTCACATTAGAATCTCTGGTTCTTCCTTGATCATAAAGGATGGCCGCGTGCAAGATCAACCTTTCCCTCATCCCAAAAGAACATGACAACAACCAAGAGAACGTCAACCCAAAGGTTGGAGATTAGTTTGGTATGGAGTCGACTAAGTAGGTTGACATCAAAATACTCTCGAACAAGGTCTACGAGTTCGAGTCATGTTTCAACTACATGGAGCAGATGCAACAGGAGATGAGAGACACTCTGTAGCTTCTCCTCTAGCAGTCGGCCGGGTCCGACGATCCCCTTTTACTATAGCTGCTCCTCCTGCATCCATCCCACTAACCACCAATCTACCAACCAGAACCCTACTGTGCTTGAGCAGCTTGCCAAAACCAACCCTGTGCTTACACAAACTAACCAACCCACCGTTGAACAGCCTCGGGTCACCCCTCAAACCAACCCAATGATGGAAGCACCACTCAACCGTGATGAATTGAAGGAATACGTTCAAGGACTAATGGTGGAAAATCAGAATAAAGCCCATGCCTCCCTCATCTTATAGAAACCCTACTTCAATCAGATCCTTTACAAACCTTACCCCACCGATTACGTTCCTCCCCAACAATGGTCACAATACGACGGGTAGAAGGGAAGCCCACAAGAGCACATAAATAAGTTTGAATACGTCCCAGGGTCTGTTGCTCTCGATAGAGATCTAAAAGTCATAGAATTCTCCAAATCTTTTACTAGGCCGGCCTACACCTGGTTCATCAATCTGACCGTAGGTAGCATTGACTCGTGGGAAGAGATGGCGAAGAGATTCCTGTCCAAGTGGTTTAACCTGGAGTGGAGACTGACAATGGCAGACCTGCACAACATAGGGCAACGCGCAGGGAAAGACCTCTTAGTGTATGTGATGAGGTTTTAGAAGTTGACCCACTCAGTCTTCGACAAACATGCTACTGAGAAAAGTTTCGTCAAACAATGCATGCAAGGATTGCAGCCCGCCTATAGGATAGGCATAGAGAATGTGGAGGTTGAAACCTTCAGCCAATTGTGGAAGTGCGCGGAGAGGTTGGCATGCACTGTCAAAAGCACTACGTCTCAGTCTACATCAACCATAGGTCAGTATGGGAAGAATGAGGCTTATGCTGTTGATAGGAAGCTTCGCAACACTGGAGGGCCTAAGCAGGGGCCCTACTATTCCAACAACAACCAAGGTAGAAGAAATGGTGCACCAGTCCCACCTCCTTTTGCCTGCACTAAAGAGGAAGTGATCATGATCATGAACAAGATTGTAGAAGATCGCGCCATTAATTTGGCGCCACCACTAGTGGAGATCGACATAGAGAAGGAGAGGAACAGGGGGATGGTGCAATTTTCACTAGTCGCCACACTACAACCTAATGGACTAATTTTCACTATGGCGAATATTCATACAGAAGGTGAAGCTTGACGATTTCATTAAGAGGAAACCAGCCCAGGTAGACACGAACCTCCTCTCTGCATATACCCAAGGAGGGAGTATCAATGTAGTCGGAGCGTTGGGACAAGATCACCCAGACATGATACAAAGGTTCGAACAGAGTGCCGAACTACAACAGTTCTTCAATAAATAGGGGGCCAATTCTTTAACAAGAAGGCTTGCCATTAGAACGTTGGTAGAGACATTATGGAGACCGTTGGAACCCCACCGATTAGACAAGACAAGCGTAGAGTTCACACAGGACGACATGTTGGCCACCGACCCCCATCACAACAGGCCTTTGTACATTACGACAAAGATAGGGGATTACGAGCTGAGGCGATCGATGGTCGATTCGGGTAGTTTCGTGAACCTGATATCTGTGTTAGATAGTGTATGCCCTTCGCTCTAATTAGATTGATGTACAAATACATTTATTGTAAATGAATAAAAGTACATTATTATTTAATGTTGATATTGGTATATTTCTATAAAATTACCCCTTAAGTTGCACACTTATGAGACTTGTGTTAATTTAGAATGTTCTTAGCCATTGGATAGACTTGGGGAGTTTATCCTGCCAAGACTAACATTAATGTGTTGCCAAAGAAGTTGGGACAGCTTGTCTTATCTGCTAGGGTTAGACCCAAAGCACATGCAGTGTGTGTTTGTTGTTGCGTGTAAATTGGGGAAGAGTTCTGTAGTTTGTTGTTGCGTGTAAATTCTGAAGAATTTGTCCCTATTTATAGCCTTCTTTGGATCAGCCTCCTAATCTAACTAGGAGAGAGTTTCCTAATCCAAATCTTATATTTGGATTTGAACTCTTAAATGGATAAGACTTATCTTATCTTTCAGCTAATCCTAATCAGTTTAAAATTGAATTTGCCCCCTTTAAATTAACTAACTTAAGCCCAGTTCGAATTGAGCCTTAGGCCCACTAAGCTTATGTGCTCACTTACTCTTTAACCTGTTGCCCAGTTGGCTCACTTTGTATGGTGTGGGACCCTAACATTGATCTACACATTAACCACATGGGTTCTTACCAACCTTTGTTACAAGGCTTGGTCGAATTCACTGTAAGAGATAGTGAACCCCTGAGTCCATCACCATGGGCTCTTAATGGGCCCAACATTTACAATAAATGGTTCTTGGATCCAGCCACCTTATGAAAATCAAAGAACTATGGACAAATGCAAGATTAGCCCATTAGGTATTACCCTCAATGGTCTTACACTTAACCTCTCAACCCTTAATGATTAAACACTGCTCGACAAGAGAGGACCTCTCCCTCGGCTGAAGGTAGAGTGTTGCACTCTCTACTC